TCTTAGCCAATCAAAATCGAAAATCTACCGGTCCACGGCAGCTACGGTTAATATTGGAGAACAATAGTAAGGCGCCTCTATGGTGGGAGCTAAAGCCATAGTCATGTAAATGAGTATGAATTACTCATCGTTAGTCATAGATTCCCCAATACTCTAAATAGTCATATTGCTTAAAGCCCCCAAAGCTCTCTGTAATGTATAAATAACCATCGATTTCATGCATCTGAAAACAAGTGTTATAATAATAAAAACCAACTAATGATAAATTCCGGGGATCCTAATTGCAGTAGGTTCTCGGACCAAATCTTTCACCCTTTCAAGTAGCCTTTGATTTTTGTTGTGCCTTAGGTTGCGAGTACTAGTTACCCCAAATCCGCCCTTTTACAACCTAGGTTCTAGGGCTAAGTCTTGGACTGAACTTAAGTTAACTAAAGTTCTAAACCTGGTTTTATAAGGACTTGGTCCATAAGTCCATGCAGTAAACCTACAGGTTATGAGACCAGTACCGGACCTGGGCTGGACTTTACCATCCCTATATTTAAGCCATACCAGAGTGGTTACGATCCAATTTGAAATCCCCGAATAAATTTATTAAATTTGTAGTAATAGATACAATATAAAGTATATACATATATTTAAAAATGTTATATTATTATTACATATTAAAAATTTCTAAACGAGTAAATATTAATCTGGTTCAAAGAATTAAATAAATAGTTATCAAATTAATAACTCCCGATTTTTATACAAAAATTTATTGTATGACCAATGTTTTTGGCGTGTAGAGTTCGTTAGGTTGGTTGTTAGATTGGTCATTATGAAATTTTTGTGACTGATGGTCACTTCTTATTTGACCAATATTGCTGAATACCAAAATCAGCAAGATTTAAAAACTCTAATTGTTTATTATTAAGGTTAAATATTCTAATTAAAGTCGAATTATTTTTATCAACAAGGTAATAAGAACCTAAAAATAATAAATATCATTAAAATATTATTATTTTAAAAATATTATTTAGTAATAAATTTACCAGATATTTCCTTTAAATTTGGAAATCCAAGTGTCTTTTTATAAGATTGAATTAGATCTAATTTAGACCTTGATATTTCTTCCTCGTATTTTGTTTTAAAATTTTCTTCAGCCATGATTTTAGCTTCATATAATTGTCCTAAAATGTAGCATTCATATTTTACGAATATCATTACTTGACTGTCATCAAAGCTAACGTAAAGATATAAAGATGTAATATAACATATATATATGTTAAGTACCGATACAAATTGATTTTGAAAAAAATATCTATGCTAAAACGTTGCATTTTTTAAAGTGTGCGTGTACGTACGTACGTATGTATAGATGGAACTTATATATATATCGATATGATTAGCTTAATAAAGGAAAACGTACGTACTAGGTGGGTTGTGTAACATCTGTGTCAGCCCATCCACGTACAGTACGTACGTACGTACGTACCTAATGTATTTGAGCATCCTGTCGTCGTTGACATTTATAATCATTATTATTTGCTCCTTTAGTGATGTCGATAAAAAATCAACTACTAGCATTTGGGTCAAACGGACATGGTCAACTTGGTATTGGCACAAAAATTGATGTAAATGTTTCTACAGAATGCTTATTTTCTTCAAACCAGACAAGTGAATCAATTTTGAATGAATCCCCACCCGTGGTTATTAGTGGAGGAGGAAATCATTCTGCCTTTATAACTCATTATGGTGAACTATGGGTGAGTGGATCGAACAGTGATGGCCAATGTGGCCCATTATATTCTAATGTAATCACAACCACCACCCAAGAACAACTTTCATCATCAACCATTTACCGTAAAATAATAGTAAAGGATTCAGTAAATAAAATGGAAATTAAATGGAAATATGTTGCATGCGGATGGGCTTTTACAGTTGCCATTACACAAGAGCATGGATTAGTTTATACGTTTGGGAAAGGATTGCATGGAGAGTTAGGGTGTGGTAAATCAATAATATCATCAAATAATCAAATATTACAAATCGAAAACTTGCAAGGGATCAAAAAAGTTGATTGTGGGCTGCGACATTGTGTTGGATTAACTTACGATGGAATCTGTTTTGGATGGGGAAATAATAAATATGGACAACTAGGACCATTACAAAAAGATTCAGAGAGTTATGATGCAAAAATATTAGAGCAGAAGAAATTAAATATAAGTGGGTTATCTGAAAAAATTAGGACAGCTAAGAAAGACGAATGCTACTTTAAACCAATTAAAATTTCAATTGGATTTACGGAAAGAATTGAAGATATTGCATGCGGACAACACCATACACTTGTTTTGACTTGCATGGGACAAGTTTATTCATTTGGCCTCAATAAGTATGGTCAACTAGGATATGCCTCACCGTTAAAAATTCAAAATTGTATGATTCCAAAACAGATAACAAATCTTCCTAGCAAGGTTATTAAAATATCATGTGGCTGGAATACTTCTATGGTTCTTTGCGAAGATAATAAAGTTTTAATTTGGGGTAGAAATGATCATGGACAATTAGGAAAAGTTAATTCAGAAATAAATCAAAATAAAAATGGTGAAAATGAAAACGGATATATTAATCAACCTTTTCCATTATATTATCTTCCACAATACGTTTTATTTCCTAACTCTTTAAAAATTCAAAGTTGTATTTGTGGATCAGAACATTCTTTGGCTATATCGACATCTAGTGAGTGTTTTTCTTGGGGATGGAATGAACATGGAAATTGTGGCACAGGCAGTAACATTGATCAATGGACACCAGTAAAAATTAATACATTAAATAATATAATTGTTAAAAAAATTGGTACTGGTTGTGGAAATTCATGGGTTTGGATAAATAATTTAAATTAATTTAGCAATTAAATATTAAAGTTATGCAAAATTAATAAATATTTATTAAAATTGGTTTTAGATCCGAAATTACTTTATACATTAAATTTTGTCCAGTTTTTTTGTATAGCGCACGCACATATTTCACAGGAGACAAAGATTGATTTTCATAAGTTTCTTCCAGTCCAAGCTATCCGAAATAGTTTCGACAATTTCATCTATTAGGATAAAGAAAAAGTATATAATATAAATCTTATCGCTAAACAAAATCAAACAATAAAGGCTTAATCTGTGATATTGGAATATTCAAACTTTCTTTTAATGTCGCTATTAAACCTAAAGGTTCCCAAAATTCTGGGATAGAATAAGAATTCTAACCACCTACTGTACCTAGTATCACCAAAATCAGGTACTTAAATTGGGGTGTTTCATACTAAATGATTTACTATCATAGTGCAGCATTATATGATTGGCCTACTAAGTAAAATTTTTGA